CTTGAGTAGAGTTGTTTGATTCTTTTAATAACTTTCAGAGGGAGTAAAAAATGCCTTTTGGTTGTCAATGAAGAATAATGAAATCATTGGCTTTTGGATTTTAGCTGTATCCATTCAAGAAGTAATCCATTATCCGCTTTGCCCAAAACCAAGGTTGATAAATTGAAATTACAAGCTATCGTTTTTTTCCAGGTTGCCATCTTGATTTTACCCAATATTTCTAATAGAAGAAGGCTGAAAATATTGTTTTTCAGGTTCAAGGAAACGAAGTGACTTTTTCATTGGTTCCTGAGTTCTCAATTTGCAAAACTCCCTGTGTTAAATGTTCCCAGAAGATGGGTGAACAATCACTGAGCATTTCCAGAGTTGTCGAGAAGTAGGTGTTATTTAAAAATTTGAAATCAATATATTAAAATATTGAATATTAATATTTAATTTAGAAGCCCAAAGTTATAAAATTTTCGAGCATGCAGGAAACCAGTGAAGAAGGTGGGGAAGAACGAGCATCACTGGTGGAAGAAAAGAGATTCAGCTGGCTCTGGACAAAAGACACTCAATCTTGTTCGAATTGTGAGTTTAATTTGCCCTTTTTCTCTTCTTTGAGTACTTTTTTAGCTACAGTATATATATTCTAGAATTTGAAGATAAAGCTATGCACTGATTCTATATGTAAAAAGAGCAGATTTCTCAACTTCCCAATGAAAAGGAGATTGTTTATGGAGCATTGGACAAGTGGGTAGTTTGGGAAACCGAGTTTCCATTGATTGCAGCTGCCAAGGCTTTACGGATTTTGAGGAAGAGGAGCCAATGGCTGCGTGTCATTCAAGTATGTTGGTATCATTGCTTTGTGTTTTTCAGCTTCTGAAGTGGTATCATCGATGTAGGGAAGTTTTATTTGTTCAATAATTTTCCATTACCTTCTAGTTTGTTTGGTGGTTCAAAGATAAAAATGTGGAGCCTTTGCTATAGAGATTTAGATATTGTTCCTGTATACGTTAATGCTGAATGATCGTTTGGTTTACGCTGTAATTGCTGTTTTGGTCATGTTCAGTAATGGACTCACTGATACTCAGGTGGCGAAGTGGATGTTAAGCAAAGGCCAAGGAGCTACAATGGGAACATATGACACCCTTCTACTTGCGTTTGATATGGATAACAGAGTGGATGAGGCTGGATCATTATGGAACATGATTTTGCATACACACACCCGTTCTATCTCAAAGCAGTTGTTTTCTAGGATGATTTCTTTATTTGATCATCATGACATGCAGGATAAGGTAATAGAGGTATGCCGTACAGAACCAGCTCTGCTGTTTTTATTTGACACCCCTAAACTGTTTTTGAGAATTCATACTAAATGAAGCAAAGCTATGTTGGTTCTAAGTTATTAGTTTTCATTTCAAAGGTATTTGCTGACATGGAGGAGTTACGCGTCTGACCAGATGAAAACTCAATCAAGAAAGTGGCCTGTGCTTTTAAGAAACTTGACCAAGAAGACAAGCAGAAGTTGGTTCTTAGACGATACACGAGTAAAGGAAATTCATACACTTTAATGGTGAACGGGTTAGAGTCAAAAGATATACATCAGATGAAGGTTGATGTTCGAGTGAGTGAGTGCCATTCTCGCGGCATCAATGACATAATTCAAGTTTTTGTCTACTCTGTTGGACCTTGCAAATCAGGAATGTGGAACTATGGTTGCAGCAACAAGGCATCTTATTCGCTTCCCTTGAGATAGGAAGTGCAAACTTGAATATTATTTGAACAGATCATTTCTGGTGGGTTGTTCCCTGTGTATAACCTTGCTTGTATGTTAAAACCTCTTAAAATTATCTGGGGATATATATACAGAGGGAGGGCCAAAAAGTGTTTTAGCTGTTAATGTAGGATACTGTTCCTTCTTTTGAGATATTTTTCCTCATAAGAATGTTATGTCTTCATATCATCAATGATTCAATTGAAATATTATATAGTATTAGAAGAGGTTTCTCCACTGTTTTGATTTCTGGAGGAATTAGTTATTCTCTTTGAATACCTTCATCACCATGTTCCAAGAATGATATACGACGAACAGACAACTGTTATAGCTGCCTGCAATATCAGTGTGCAAATGGTCGACGATAGTGGCCACAGTAAGCCATTGTGGTCAGGGTCTCCTGGTGGAGGTTCGACCTTAAGTATATACTACACTGCTGCATCTGACCAACATTTTACTGTCAACTAAGGGATAATTGGTAAGTGCAGCTTTGGAATTGATTTTACTTTTAAGATCCTCTCTACAACATTGCGTGCCGTCCGTTTCTCATGGCTGTGATAACAGTTTGGATTGTTTAACTCTTCTTGCCAATGGTACTGATTGGAAGCAAGTCAAAGAAGAATTGATGAACTGAGATAACTTTACATGTGATGTGAAGAATGATCATGTTGAAAAGAGATATTTAAGGAGATATCAATGGAGGTAGGTGCCTCTTACTGACCTCCATTGCAGCTTCTTCTGTGTTCAAATTGTCGATGCACGAGTTTGTTAGCTCTGTTAAGAGTTGCGCCACATCACCTGATGATTTAAGGAGATGCCGAGCATTCGATCTTTTCTGAGCTACAAAATCCAACTTGTATATAGAATTTGGATTATTTCATATCAACTTAATTCAAATTGGATTTGTTAACTTCATTGAATCAAGTCGATTTGAGCATTTAGCTCGGGTTTTCTTTTCTCTTCCAATTATTAAATGCTAACCATTCATATTCCCATCCTCGATTGATCAATGATGGAGCGTTTTGCGCCAGCTGCAGCTGTAAAACCGAGGGCGAAGTTCAACACCTGATGAGTAAGATCCAGTGCGTTGGCCTGAAAGACTAGTGTTACTCGACAGTCGACACGACTTAGTCTCCTCTAGTACCCACTCAGCGTTTTCCTGTTTCCCTGTAACTAAGGTACTGCATTTAATAAATTTCGTTGAAAATTGGAGACGATCAAAAGTAAACCCTAACTTAATTAGGGAAACCGAAATGTACTGTGATATATTTATACGAACTGGACCACAACCAAGTCCATGGACTTAGTCTAATGGCATGCGCTCGAGTTTCCATTTTTCTTCGTGGACCAACTTGATGATGAGACGAGCTTTTTGGAAACTGTCTTTCCAAATGTCAACTTTCCATACATCAAAATGTACAGATTTGGACTGTTCTTAAATATCAATATCATACATTTTATCCAAATAATATTTAAGTAATATATTTTATCTAAATCATATTAACTAATTACATTAGTGGGTCTGTGGAGATTTTTTACATGCACTAAAACTCAAACTCGAGACATATTTAAATAATATCAAACTGTTTATTATTTTAATCAACCCGTTGATAATAATTCATTTCTTTGGATAGAAGCCTAAACCAATTATTTAGATTTTATAATATACAAAATCATGTTATATGGTACTATCCTACGTTACATACAATCTTAGTGTATGGACCGATATCTTTTAGGGTGCATTTGGTTCACGGAATGTAAGATTACCAGTGAGAATAAAAGATTATCAGAGAATAAGATTATTGGGAATATTGCATTTTGTGTTTGGTTGGTTTAGCAGGAATGTAAGATTATCGTGTTCGGTTAAAGGAATAAAAGATTATTTGAATGTATATTTAACCAAATTGTCCTTATTATATATTTGTATAATATTACAAGTTGAAAAATATTTATATATTTTCTTTAAAAAATTTAAATTCATAATTTTTATATAATTTTTTTACAAAATTAAAAATATAAAAAAGGTTTAATGAAAGGGTAAAATTTTATTTTAATCCCTGAACTTCATATAAAATTTTAATTATAGATCTTTTTTGTAAATCTAAAATAATTTAAGGATAAATTTGTAATTTAACCTTCGTAGAATTTTTATTATTCAATGACAGAAGAATGATATTTTTGAAAAAAAATAATAATTTAAGGACATTTTAGTCCGAAACGCCGGTAATGTTACAATATCTAAGGGAAGGAAGGTAATGACTTCCCCGGTAATATATCCAAAAAAATCTACTATTGATAATAAAACATTACCGGAAATGAAATTCCCGAATCCCGACCAAACCAAACGGGGGAATGTGGATTTCATCCCCAGGGAATCCCACATTCTCCGGTTTGGTTAGCCGGGAATCTCATTCCCGGTAATATAAGATTACCAATAGTGATTTTTTTGGGTATATTACCGGGAATGTCATTACCTCAATTTCTTTAGGTATTGTTGGATTACCGATATTTTGGACTAAAACACCCTTAATTTTTTTTCCAAAAATATCATTTTTCTGTCATTGAATAATAAAAATTCTACGAAGGTTAAATTACAAATTTATCCTTAAACTATTTTAGATTTACAAAAAAAAATCTATAATTAAAGTTTTATATGAAGTTCAAGAGTTAAAAAAAATTTACCCATTCATTAAACCTTTTTATATTTTTAATTTTATAAAAAAAATTATATAAAATTTATGAATTTAAATTTTTTAAAGAAGATATATAAATATTTTCCACTTGTTAAAAAACAAATATATAATAAGGACAATTTGGTCAAATATACATTTAATAATATTTTATTCCTTTAACCAAACACGGTAGTTTTACATTCTTGCCAAACACAAAATACAATATTCTCAGTAATCCTATCTCTTATTAATCTTACATTCGTGAACCAACGCACAGTTAGAGTAAAATCCAAAGTCCCAGCCCGAGAAATTGAGTGGTAAGTAGTGCATTGGAGTTGGAGTACAGACTAACTACAGATTCTCACGTAATCTCCGCGTGAAATTAATGCATGCATCTAACTCTAACCTACTTCAACTGTAAAAGCTAAAAACATCATCACCTACCATCGTCCTTTCCATGATTCATTCAACAGTCTATATATACACTTACAAATTAGCATTTATATTACTCACCACATACCTTCACACTCCCATTTGCTTACTCTCGCACGTTTCCATCCTTTTGTGGAGCTCTTAAGTTGATAGTAATATGGGGAAATGGTCTGGGGTTGTAGTACTGTTGGTTTTGAGTTTGTTTTTGCGGGTTAGAGGTGCTCCCCAAGTTCCTTGTTACTTTATCTTCGGGGATTCATTGGTGGATAATGGGAATAATAATCAACTCTCGTCACTGGCTAGGGCTAATTACTTGCCTTATGGGATTGACTTCCCTAATGGACCGACTGGAAGGTTTTCTAATGGTAAAACTACCGTCGATGTCATAGGTGAGCTTCTATTTTAGTTTCCCTTGTTTTTTTCTTCGTTTCTTTGACTGCTTAAACCAAGGGTTTCTTTCGCTTGAAAACAACAGATTATGACTTATTTAGTAGACTGCAATTTCACCTTCATAAAACTGTACCACGATAGTGTTGTTTAATTGTTATTTTTAACCTGCAGCTCAACTTTTGGGCTTTGACAATTACATCCCTCCTTACTCCACTGCTAGCGGTCGACAAATACTCGGAGGAGTTAACTATGCATCGGCGGCTGCCGGAATCAGAGAAGAAACCGGACAGCAACTGGTAGTTAAAACTAAAACTTTTATCTGCAACTGGTTAGGTCGACAAATACTCCACTGCTAGTGTTGTTTATGGTTCTTTTAGTAAGTAGCTTATAGATATAATTGCACCATTGTGCGAAACTAAAACTTTTATCTGCAAACTTGTACCATATAGGGAGCTCGGATCAGTTTCAGCGGCCAAGTTAAAAATTACCAACAAACAATATCACAGGTGGTAAACTTGTTAGGGGATGAAACCACAGCAGCAAACTATTTAAGCAAATGTATTTACTCAATCGGACTCGGTAGCAACGATTACCTTAACAACTATTTCATGCCCCTTTTTTACTCAAGCAGCAGGCAATATACCCCAGAGCAATTTGCTGATGTTCTTATTCAAGAATACACTCAGCAGCTTCAGGTTAAATAACAGTTTATAATTTCCATTGATCTTTACATATATCCCCCAGTTTTGTTTCCCAGAAATCTCCTCTGATGATTACAAGTAAAATGGTTTAGGCTTTGTATAACTACGGGGCAAGGAAGTTTGTGTTGATTGGGGTGGGTCAGATCGGTTGCAGTCCCAATGAATTGGCTCAAAACAGTCCAGACGGTAAAACTTGCGTGGAGAGAATCAATGCTGCAAACCGGATTTTCAATGACAGGCTTAAAGGTCTCGTTGATCAATTCAACAACGCCGATTCCGACGCCAAGTTCATCTACATCAATGCTTATGGAATTTTCCAAGACATAACAAGCAATCCTTCGGCTTACGGTAACGTCGAGGAGCACCTATAAACGTTGAATATTAGTAATGTTATACCAATGGTTTGATTTTTTTAATGTTTGTGAATGTGCAGGTTTTAAGGTAACAAATGCAGGGTGTTGTGGAGTGGGGAGGAACAATGGGCAAATTACCTGCTTGCCAGCCCAAACTCCATGCCCAAATAGGAATGAGTACTTGTTTTGGGATGCTTTTCATCCAACTGAGGCTGCAAATGTGATCATTGGGAGGAGATCTTACACTGCTCAGTCTTCATCCGATGCTTACCCCATCGATATCCGCCGTCTTGCTCAGCTCTGAAGATGGAGACATAGGCTTTGGATGTGAGAGAAGAATAAGTGATAAAATATTAGATTATTCATATGATTCAGATTACTTTTCTGTAGTTTCCATAATCTTGTTACGATCATTTTTCTAAGGGATTTGTCATTTGATAAGTTATTTCAAGCATCGGAGTTGTAATGTATCATCAGTTATAATGCTATTGAAACATTAAATTAATACTAGTATTTTTGCTCTAAGCCCACAATTTTGTATTTGTTGCTGTTCATCCTTGAATTTTGTTAACTCTACAACTACGTTGAAACATTCCAAATATCTTTCTTTTTATTAAATATAATTTAAGGAAACATATATAGTAATATTATAATCTCACTTGTAGTGTTAAATTTTTTCACTGTCCGTATAAGTAAAAAAAATTAACGATTGATCAAAATTATTATATAGTTAGATTATTATTATTTTAATTAAAAATTATTAAATAGAAAATTAAGATATTAACTAATAATTAATAAAAAGTTATTTTTTAAAATTCAACTAATAAAACTAATAAACCTACATCCTTCTACCGAGGTCTGCCCTTTAGTAAAAAATCAAAGATGAGTTTGTTGAATATCACCGAGTCACCTCACTTGAGTTACTCAAACACCAGATATTGCCTCAGTTATAACTAATTTGTTTTGAAAACTGTGAAATACAACTGCAATTGCATGCAAAGTACTAACCTAAGTCATTTTGGAATCCATCACCTAAAAAATATGTCCAAATTTGAAGAAAAAAATGATTATATAGCCATGCACATGAAAATAGGAATGAAAATCACTAAAAAGACATGAACAAAGAGCATTCAACAATGATGTGCAGTGTTTAATGCAGAACAACCAACAGAACTCCACGTAACAATTTCATATTTATTGGAAAATATAGCCTAGTTTTCTGAAAATCAAATATTGAACCCGAATAGAGGAGAAATGGTAGCCATAGACATAATAATCTGACTATCAACTGTAAGGACAAATAAACAAACAAAAAGAGCCACAATGTACACAAGAATCGAACGAACAAGGACCGCCTGTACTGCAAAGAATGCTTTGAGTATGCTTACTAGTGGAAAAAGGGTAATCCTACCAAAACAAAAATAATGGATCAGTAATTCAGTAATGAGTACTTGATACGCAATACAATCCTCCCCTTGTCCACCCCAAGCTTCGCCCCTGTAACCAACCAATGGCCAGGACTATCCTGTGGTCCTTTCGACATTTCCGTTGAGTCTACAATTTTCGCAAGTTTCCCCGCATGGCTCAAACTGTCCTCCTTTTTATTGTCGTACGTTCTCTCATTTGAAACCGATGATGAAGATCCGTCTGTCCTCTGTCCAGTAGAAAGGCTGGATGGACTATGATCCCATACGGATCTCCTTATTGTGCACCCTGGTACTTTGGAGAAGAGGAGTTTGAGGTGTAATACATTTTTGGAACCAAAGTCCCATACACCAAGCTGAGCCCCAGTGACAATGTGAACACCAGAGAGGTCTCCAATGCAGGTGTCGGTGAGTTCTATCGGTGCAGTACTCACATGGGAGAAGTTTTTCCACTTGATAGGTTCAAACCAACGGCTGTCTTGCTCCTCAGGACCTTGCCACTTTGGTGCACCTATGGCCATGTGCACATCCCAGTGGGGTTGAAGTATTTTTGGAAGGGACACTAGGTGCTGCAAATGAATTGCTAGTCTGTTCTGCTTGCTGCCTTCTAAGCTAAGCCTAAGCCCAGTGACTGGTTTACGACCAACTGCTACCTGAAATATCATTGTAAATGCTAACTTCGCAGGAGGAAAAAAATTGAGGTCTCATGAAGTTAATCGCTGTGGCTTCAAGAGTTTTGAAAAAGCTCTCTATATCGATTCTTACATGCACAAGCATACATATATACTGTTCAACAATTTCCTGACACATCAATAATGTTGCTCTAACACTTTCCTTCGCACATTCAATAATGTAGATTTTTTATTTAGACACTACCTGATCCGGGCTGATATAAAGCTTGGGACCCATTAAGCTAAACTGAAGGGATGAGCACACTGGTTCCTTCCTTTGAATGTTGCTCTGTTCTGGAGCCCAAACTCGAGCAATTTGAAAATCCAGGAAATATTGTAAATCCTCGATTGGTGGCTTGTCTGGTAAAAGGAAATAATGGATGTTAAACAGACCCTAGAGACGAAGAATGAAAACATCTTTAACATCAATGTAAGATAATCATAGTGCATGTTGCGAAACAGTTGAAGAACTTACACTCCAAGTATAGTTCAATTGCACAGGCCAAATGTTTTATACCAGGCACTCCTTCAAGAAGAGAAACAATGGGAGTAAATGTCATGTTAATGACATCTGGTGCCGATTCCACAGTCTCTGCCCACCTGGTATGACTCTGCTCAAGGTCATCACCTCCTCTCCTCCTAAAAATAACTGTAACATCCTACAGCAGGAACTCTTTTAGCGATGGATTTCTTCACATAAAAGGAAAAAGTAAACAGTAACACATTTCCCCCGAAATTAAGCATTCGCAGAGTAGGCTTAGTTATAAACAAGTAGTTACTTAAAAAGCTTAGGATCACTATGTTTAACTTATATTTAGATATAGAATCTATAAAGAACAAAACCATAATACTAACCTTGTCTTTGTATTTTAAGGGTGCAGCACTTGACTGGCCTTTGGAGTCCAGAAACCTTTGATCCCCAATGTCTTTCACATAGTTCTCGATGTCTGTTAATGATAAAGGAGATGAATAGTGCTGTCTGACATAAACAACATCTCTCCCACCAATTGTAGCGGAGGTAACAATGTGTGTACCATAATTTTCGATAAAACTGAGATAAGTAAAAGAAAACATATCAATATCAACAATTACAATTGGAAGCTGTCTGCCAATGCAAATTTATCATCTATGCTTCCGAGTTCCTATTATGACTCATCAAAAGAACAGAGAGATAAGATTAGTGATACATATGATACATAACTCCCACAAAAGGGACTGGAGCTGGAATTAGTTTGACTACCTCAGGGTATGAAAGCAACAAATTCAATGATACAAAACAAACAGTACAGCAAGAAACATACAGCTGAAGTAAAAATGTTTACTATATTACTATGAAGCCCGTCCCATTTACCTTGCCAAAGATGCAGGATCCCAAGTGTATGGAACAGCACGTCTGACTTCTTCATGCAGAACTAAATTCTGCTTTGCTAACTTGACGGTGTATAGGGGAATTAAATAGCCAACCATGGCAAGGGATTTTGTAGCTGCTGCATCAACTCGCCAAGAACCAGTGAAATTGAACATTGCATTAAAGCTTCCCAGAGGAACACGCCCTGATATACCGGAGTTCTCATTAAAGTATCCTGACATCTGGAATTAAAAAATAAAGATATTCATTAAAGGTGGTTTCTCAGCCTGTGCTAAACCAATGGCACTGGAATTAGAGCCATTACTTTTAGTTAGGTGATTGCGTCGCTCTATCTATACTAAATTGACCTTTGAAATACATCAATACATCAACATGGGCACAAAATTCCAATATATAGGATATTAAACCTGGAGATGCCATTCATAACCAAACAGAATCGAGTGAATGCTTTAGCGGAACAGTATAGATGGTGCCTAATGGCTTTATCCCATACAACATCATCAACAATGTGAGTCCAGTCCAAATCAGAGATGAAGCAACGATTGGGCTACTGGCGTACATTTATTCATCGGATGCACCCAAATCATATATTACACCGAAAGAAGCATATCATCACCACACCAGAAGTTGAAAACAATCATTAATCTAAAAACTACATGGCATACACAAAAGCAGTATACTGGCTCATCATTTATCACTGTCAAATTCAATTCAAACGGATCCTGCCTATAGGGTCTTTACTCTAATGCATTAGAGTTGCAGAAGAAAACTTTAGCAATCAATAAACATAGGCTTACCAATTTGTAAATATGCAGCAGAAAACAGGGGGAAAAAGTTATCCACACAGATACCATGGAAAAGTACTTGCTTAATTGGATTAAACTGTATAGAGTTCATTTGTACAAATAATGTTCCCTTCCAACTATTCTTTTCTCTTTCAGTTTGATAATCGGACTACCTAGAGCCCTAGTTAGGAAATGTTTCAAACAATTGCATTTATGCAAGCAAGTAAACAAATGGAAATCCCAGCATGTCCACACAAAATCGAAATTCAAGCTTTGAAGCAAATAACCAAATCACCCCCAACGCTCATCTAACAAAGACAGAAGGCCAATAGCGAGCCAAACCGAGAAATTAAAACCACTCAGATAATTCTTTCAAAAAAGGGGGTAAAGACATGAATACCTCTAAAAGAAAACAAAATCAGAAAAGCAAACGATTAGAAACAGATCAAAAGGGAGTAGCAGCAGCCCACCTCATGAAAGCTACAAACTGATTTTCTCTCGATGTCACTCTTTCCCATTGACCACTTAATATCAACGGACACGTTAGGGACAATAACCCCGCCTGAGAAAACAAGATCGTTGGTATGATCTTCATCAAGCTTAACTAACCTTGAACCAGGTGCCCCTTTGCAATATAACAGCCTTATATCTGAAGTGACATCAAAGCCACGGCCCAAAGCTTGAATTGAGCTGCTTATTGTAGTAGTCAAAGCATCTAGGCTAGAAGATAAGCTCAAGCGGCTGCCGCTTCTTGTTCTTGGGTTTTCCATATACAAAAAAATGAAAGAAAAAGAAACTTCTTTGATTCAGAGGACCCTAAAAAATTGAAAGCTTTTAAATTTGTTTCAGGTTTCTGTTCAGGTAGTTTATTGAAAAGAAAAGTAAATGAGATACGGAGATTGCGAGAGTTGGTGAGTTTTGTTTATCTTGTTGCTGTTTTTGTTCTTTGTTCTAAAGGCGGGTGTTGTGAGTTGACTACAATAATCGCGAAAAACGCGTTAATTTTGAGTTGTGTCTGAACATCAAAGGATTCTCAGTTGACTGGTCTCCATGGATATTTTTATCAGATAAAATATGCTCAGCTAATGCTCTTTTGACTTTTAGATGTGTGACCAATTATATTTGACCGTGTTCATTCATTTTTCCAAATCTATCACCTTTTGTCTCGCAATAAAATTTTAACAGTGTGTATAAAACAACCCCAGATTTTAATTATTCTTTTTGAAGCCAGTCTTTACATTTGTAGCACAATCAATCAAGTTTGCTTTGAAGGTGGTTGATGTTGAACAATCGTTGGGGAATAGCCAAGCCTTGCTGTTGAAGCATCTGATGACTGAGTAACCATCGTGATTTTGTTACCCTTCCGGGACGGCATCCGGTTGAGTTGGTCTTTTAGTGCTCCGAATCTCGATTCATCGGCAAAGATACTTGGGTCCATGATTAATTCAGGAACAAGGGTTTGACCTTCAAGCATGTTTACGACTTCAGACATGGTTGGTCTAAGTGCTGGTGATGAATTAGTGCACAATAAAGCCACTCTTGTCATCCTAATTGCCTCTTCTTCATTGAACTCGGTCCCTAACCTTGGATCCACCAACTCCATCAAGTTTCCCTTTTGTTGTAAAACAAGAGCCTGGAATAATTAACAGGAGAAAAGCATTAATGAACAATGCACCTATGGATATTTATATGATATTCTCAAACCATAACTTGAAACGTGGATTATATCTTTACCCAATCTTGAAGGCATACATAATCCTCTCCTGGTCGATATTTTGTATTGTTATTCCCAGCAACAATCTCTAATGCAACAATTCCAAAACTGTAAACATCTGCCTTGTAGGTGAGATAGCCCCATAATGCATATTCTGGGGCCATGTATCCTCTGCAAAAACAGGAGCTTTAAGCACAACGTTTTCATGCATATCAACTTTGATCATGTTTACATAAGCAAGGTTGGAGACTTTGATCTCATTTTTACTGCTTTATAGTTTTAACATTGATGCTTCATTCAATTTGCAGAAACTTCAGTTTAAATGATCAATGTATTGTTTTTTCTATTATGGTAGAAATGTGCTGAGTTGCGAAATCTGAACAAAAAACAAACAGCAGTATAGTTTTGTTTGATTCAAACTAAATATGCTGAATTGAAAGAAATGCAATGATGATCAATAGATGAAAAACAGAGGGAAAGACATATCTCACATAGTTCCAGCAACTCTGGTGGTAATATGAGTATTTTCCTCCACGTCAAACTTGGCCAAACCGAAGTCAGAGATTTTAGCATTGAGATCGCTATCTAGTAGCACGTTGGTAGTTTTGATGTCTCTATGTACAATTTTTAAGTTCGATTCTTCGTGCAGGAAAGCCAGACCTTTTGCTATGCCTAGACAAATTTTCTGCCTTGTAGGCCAGTCCAATTTCAGCTGGCTTTCTTCAGGACCTATTTGTTGATACAGGCCAATCCACGAAACTCATCATATAGTTGTCAATACATAGTTTCAGATGTTTCTCTCTATAATTGTTAAACATCACCATATTATTTTCTGGTGGGGATTTGGAAGTAATCAAAGGGGGAGAGGAATACTTGCTTTATATGGTTCCAATAACAGAACCACCAAAGGAGGAATAAAAAAGGTTTAGGACATTAAGCTTACCGAATAATGCACGTGCAAGGCTATTATTTTCCATGTATTCATATACCAACATGTTATGAACTGAAGAGAATAGAAAAGGAAAAAATCGAAGGAATAAAGATTTTAGAAGAAGAAAAGCAGGGAGATTTCAGAAATCAGAATTTCATTCATTCATCAAGTATCTTTTTCATTCCTTAGTACACAGTTTTATTTGATTACAATGTACTATAGCAAATAGAAAGAGGACAACTGTATAACTAATTCTCTAACAAACTTCTTGCAGCTGAATATTTTCCTCCTTTGGGTTGATAACTGGATCCACGTCTGAGCCCATCTCCTCTGCCCAACTCTTCTGCTGCTGCCTCTCCAGGTAATTTCCTTCAGCCCTCTCATTAGAGATTGAAATCCCTAATTCCCTTATCTCTTTTCTCTCAATCCCTAATTCCTCGTCCATTTCCCCCAATTCCCTCGCTTCAATTCTAATATCCTCGTCCTGATCTTCTCTTGCAACCGTGACAATACCCCCTTCATCAGCAGATCCTTGTCCCCAAGGATCGAATTCAGGAAATTGGGCACGCAAGACTGTATAATCTTCCCAGGTATATTTTTCAACACTTAAATTCGTCCAACGAACCAATAATTGAGTAACCGCACGGTTATCTCGTTTGACAATTAGTTTGCTTAAAATTTTCGCAGGAAATACTTTAAGTTGTCCATCATGAGGGTCTGATGAAGCCACTGTCTTCTCTCCCAGTTTCCGCTTCAAGAGACTGACATGGAAAACAGAGTGTATTTGAGCAGTTTCTGGTAAGTCCAATTTATAAGCAACCTCACCAATCTTTTCAAGAATTTTGTAAGGGCCATAAAAACGGGCTGCTAACTTCAAATTTTTTCTGATTGCCAGGGAAGTCTGCCGATATGGTTGCAGTTTCAGGTACTCTTCTCCCACATCAAATGTTCTTTCACTGCGATTTTTATCAGCTTGCTATTTCATACGGTTCTGGGCTTGCTGTAACTGGTCTCTAACAATTTGCCTGATCTGCTCTTTGTCTTGTAATAACGTCTGAACATTGTTAACATTAGATTCAGAACACCATAACATTGTAGGAGGTTTATATCCATAGAGTGCCTCAAAAGGGGTAATTTTAAGTGTTGTATGATAGTTTGTATTGTACCACCATTCAGCATGAGGTAACCATCTTGCCCATTGAGTAGGTTTTAGGAAACACAAACCCCTTAAGTACTGCTCAAGACATTGATTCACTCTCTCAGTTTGACCATCCGTCTCGGGATGGTAAGCTGTGCTAAAGAGTGTGCTGGTTCCCAACTGCTTCATTAGTTCTTTCCAAAAAAGACTAGTGAAGGTCTTGCCACGATCTGAAATGGCCATCTTAGGCTGACCATGAAGCTTATAAACTTGATCTAAATATAATTTAGCTACTTCCATAACAGTGTAGGGATGAGAAAGTGCTAAAAAATGAGCATATTTAGTCAATTTATCCACTACTACTAAAATGCAATTCTTATGCAAAGAATTAGGTAAACCTCCAATAAAATCCATAGTTATCACCTCCCATGCTTGTTGAGGAATTGGAATTGGTTGTAGCAGCCCAGGTTTAGCCACATGCTCCACCTTAGTGCGTTGGCAGACTTCACATTTCTGTACATAATTAGAGACCATGGTTTTAAGTTTAGGACAATAAAAATAAGATTTCACCCGCTGGTATGTAGCCTGAATACCCGAATGCCCTCCATGAGGAGAATCATGTAAAATCTGTAGTATCTGCAATCGTAAATCACCGGACTTTCCCACATAAACTCTATTTTTGTAACGCAACACCCCTTTTGAATACTTCCAATTTGGAACACTAGCAGTGTTAATAGTTACTGCTCGAATGTATTCTTTAGCATCAGTATCATTTTCATAGCTTTGTTCAATGTCCTTAACCCAAGCCGGAATTATAATCATGGCACCCATCCTTTGACACTCACCCACCTGCACAAATTGTCTTGACAAAGCATCAGCCACAACATTATTACGCCCTTTTCGATATTGAATTTTGTAGTCCAAACCCAACAATTTAGTCAATCCTTTTTTCTGAATTGTTGTCGTGAGTTTCTGCTCTAACAAATACTTCAAAGGTTCGTGGTCTGTTTTAATGATAAACGGACCACACTCAAGATAATGTCGCCATTTCGAAACTGCCAAAAGAATAGCCAAATATTCCTTCTCATAAATAGAAAGGTCCACGTTTTTAGGGCTTAAAGCTTTGCTAAGATAGGCCAAAGGACGACCTCCTTGGGATAAAACAGTCCCAATGCCTTCTGAGCTTGCATCAGTTTCTAAACAAAATTCTTTAGTAAAATCAGGAAGAGCCAAAACTGGAGCCTTACACATTACTTCCTTCAATTGATTAAAAGCTGTCAATGATGTAGGAGTCCATATAAAACCTTCCCTTTTTAACATCATTGTAAGTGGTCGACTAATTGCACCATAGCCTTTGATGAACCTTCTATAATAGCCTGTTAGCCCCAAAAATCTCCGAAGAGATTTTAAGTTTTGAGGAATTGGCCAATTTTTCATAGCAGCAATTTTTGATGGATCAGTGGAAACCCCTTGAGCATTAATAATATGACCTAAATATTCCACTTGTGGTTGACCAAAATAACATTTACTCCTCTTAGCATATAGCTGATATTGTGTCAATATTTCTAAAACTCTTCTCAAGTGTCGTGCATGAGCAGACAATGTAGTACTGTACACTAATATATCATCAAAAAATACTAGAACAAATTTTCGCAAATAGGGAGTGAACAGATCATTCATAAGAGATTGAAATGTAGCAGGTGCATTAGTAAGACCAAAGGGCATTACCTTGAATTCAAAATGTCCATGATGAGTGCGAAAGGCAGTTTTGTAGATTTCTGTAGGCTGAATTCGAATCTGCCAGTAACCAGACCGTAAGTACAACTTAGAAAAATAGGCTGCTCCATGTAATTCATCTAATAAATCCTCCACCACTGGTATTGGAAACTTATTTTTTACTGTCTGGTTGTTTAATTGTCTATAATCGACGCAAAATCTCCAAGAACCATCCTTTTTCTTAACAAGCAAGCAAGGTGAGGCAAAAGGGCTCTTGCTTGCTTGAATGACAGAAGCTGCTAGCATATCAGAAATTTGTCTTTCCACCTCTGCTTTTTAATGATGTGGAAATCTGTAAGGCCGCAAATTGACCGGGGCTGCACCCGGTTTAAGTGTAATTGAATGGTCATGTACTCGTTTAGGAGGTAATCCTTTAGGTTCATCAAAAACTCTTGCAAATTCTGCTAATAATGGTTGTAGATCCTGAGGCACCTGCTGCTCCTCAATTTTCATAGTTAAGAAATAAATTTCTCCCAATAAATTTGGATCCTTGGCAGTAATCTTTTGCATTTTGTCATTAGAAACTGTTTTCTTAAGGAATGGTGCTTGATGTCCTTGAATAGATAGTTGTTGTTCCTCCTTCTCAAAAGTAATAGTCATAGCATTAAAATCCATAAGGATTGGACTATATTTGCGCATCCAATCGACTCCAAGAACCATATCACTGCCTCCCAGATTAAGTACCCGAAAATCATGAAAAAACTGATGGCCTTGCATAATCCAACATAACTGATTGCTCTTAGCTGAACTGAATAATTTCTCACCATTAGCAACTGTAATGGCTAGTGGTTGAGTTGAAACTAACTCAGTACCAGCTTTAGCCCACTTAGGAGTGATAAAGCTATGTGTGCTGCCACTGTCAATAAGAATATTGAGAGGTTTGCCCTTGACCAAGCCTTGAATTCTAATTGTAGTATATCCAATGTTACCTGTGAGAGCATTGACTGAAATTTCTAGGTTCTCATCTTTATCATTTGAATCTTCCAAAACCTCATCTGTTATGACTGCATCTTCCTGGCTATCCACTTCATAACATTCAATTGTCTTAACTTGCATTGGTGGCCTGGTTGAAATCGTTCACCACATTTGTAACACAAATTATTCAATCTGCGATACTCCAACAAATTGTTCTTGTTAGGAGGATTTGGTAGAACTTTCTGTGTTGTTGTAATAGTAGCAGGTCTGTTAAAATTTATTTTGGTGGGATAGGGTGGGAATCTTGAATTATGTTTCTGTCTTTTGCTTTCAAACTCCATTGAAATCTCATAATTTTGCCTGCCTGCAAGCTTCAGCGACTTCTTTAGGATTAAGAGCTTTGACCCTATGTTTCAACTCCTCCTTCAGTCCACTTATGAAAATGGACACAAAAAATTCCTCCCCCAAGGTTGGGTTCTGCATTAGAATGAAAGGTTTCAGCTCTTCAAACCTCACTTGGTATTCTTCCACTGTTCCTTTTTGAATTAGCTTACTAAATTCCTCTATGACATCTGCATACTGCATATCACCAAATCGATGACATAAGTCTGCTTCGAACTCATGCCAATGTACTCGATTTTTTTGCATGATATAACCATCAAACCATGATTCAGCTTTTCCCTCTAAATACATGGCAGCTAACTCAACTTTTTGCTCTTCAGGAATTCCAAAGAGATGAAAGAACTTATGACATTTTTGCACCCAGCCCCTTGGATTAGTTCCATCAAAATTCTTTAGCTCTACTTTAGGCCTAGGAAGTATAAATCCAGTGTTTCCTACTGCCCCTCCCTGAACCATTTTGTCCCCATTATTATCCTTTGTTTGATTTTCCATCCTCATTTTTGATTGATCCATTTGCAACTCATAGGGTTTAGATTTAAGGATACATGGTTCATCCATATTGTACGAGAATCTGGACTTATCATTAATCACTGTCACCATCACCGGTTTCTTTCCATCAACCTTAGTTGGAGTAGGCGTAGCAGTCTACTCCTTTTCTGAGCTTGCCATTTCTTGCTCATCGTTCCTCCCCGTTAATATTCGTAAGACTTGTTCTATATAGGCTTGATTGGTGTTCATCTTCGATTCCAGACGGTTGTTTTGCTCCTCCCACCATTTTGGAGGTTTTGTTTCATCACTGACGTTTTCTACCCTTTTTGATAAATCTTCAATCTGCTGCTGAATGGCAGTAAGTTCAGCCGACTCTGCCATAGCTTGATTCTTTCTTTGTTTTCCCAGTTTGCTAATGCCAGGAAATTAAGCTATGTATACCAATTGTTATGAACTGAAGAGAATAGAAAAGGAAAAAATCGAAGGAATAAAGATTTTAGAAGAAGAAAAGCAGGGAGATTTCAGAAATTAGAATTTCATTCATTCATCAGGTATCTTTTTCATTCCTTAGTACACAGTTTTATTTGATTACAATGTACTATAGCAAATAGAAAGAGGACAACTGTATAACTAATTCTCTAACAAACTTCTTGCAGCTGAATATTTTCCTCCTTTGGGTTGATAACTGGATCCACGTCTAAGCCCATCTCCTCTGCCCAACTCTTCTTCTGCTGCCTCTCCAGGTAATTTCCTTCAACCCTCTCATTAGAGATTGAAATCCCTAATTCCCTTATCTCTTTTCTCTCAATCCCTAATTCCTCGTCCATTTCCCCCAATTCCCTCGCTTCAATTCTAATATCCTCGTCCTGATCTTCTCTTGCAACCGTGACACAACAACAGTTGAGTTCCCTCAACACAACATCCATACAATCTAACAACATTTGGGTGTTGTAATCCTGAAATCATGGCTAGTTCATTCAGAAATTCTCGATCCCCTTGTCTTGATTTTGAAGAAAGTTTTTTAATTGCAATTATGGTACCATCAAGCAATACACCCTACGTAACATAAAATTTTGTTATATATTTCCTCACATACACACACTTAAACATCATAAAGTCAGAAGGAAACATGTTACAATGTAGACAGAAAGCATGTGATTAAGGTACCTTGTAGACAGCTCCAAAACCACCTTCTCCAATTTTATTTGCAGCGTCGAAGTTGTTCGTAGCAGCTTTCATCTGTTTGAAGGTAAAGAACCCAGCCTGCAGATCTAACCCCCTCAAGACTTGGAAAATATCGGGGGAACCAATTGAATTACACATTCAATAAGCTTGCAATAACATGCACTTTTCAAATGGATCACCTAGAGAAGTCGTTTGAAAGCATAAGATTTGTAGATTGAAGTTTATTAGAGTACTTTGTTACCTTGATGGCTCGCGTCGAAAATAGCCTTGCCACCATAGAATGCATAAGATTACGACAATCAGGCACAGAACAGAAACAACAGCTCCCACTACAAACTTCTTATTCTTATTCCAGCCACTTAGAACTGGAGGCTTGAAATCTACCACCAAAAGGGGTAAAAAGGTACAAACAGTTATTCCAAAACTTCATTTCCTGAAGTAACAGTGCATGTGAATGTGCCAGTAAATTATTAAACTTATCCATCACTTAAAGTACTTAAGATGGTATTGGATAAAGTTTCCCTTTCATAAAATTTAAGCACATGAAAAAGCTGGTCGTATGTTGTTGGGTCAGTTTACAGTTAAGTTCTACTAGTTTTCAGCTGCCAAGAATCTATGTCATGCAAACAACAGATTAAGGGAAACTCCATTATTGCATCATATAATGTGCATGTCAATCCACTTCAAGAATCAAACAAATTGGAAAAAAAGAATCAAGTTCCCAAATATAACCAGGAGATTGAGTAAGCACATAAGAAGAATGAATGGCTATTTTAATTACAAGACCTTACCAGAGGTTACTGAGATGGCTGATATTAAAGGGCCATATGTTCCTCTTCTTGGGGTTCCCGTTGTCCCCTTCCCAGCCCAGTGAAAGCGTATTGTCAAAGTTTTGTTCCTGACAACCGTTTTAAATTTCCTTATAACTGCTTTATCGACACCCTTTGCCTCATCTTTAATATTGAAATCTTTCAATTCCAGTTTCTCCTGCAACGAACTTATTCAATCAACCAATTTCCAATTTCAGGAACATGCAAATCACACTACACATATAACATGAAGGACTACCTGTACATAAACATCAAATATCCTCCTACCAAGACTTTGATAGGATCTATTGGCTCTGATAACTATCTCTGCAAAGTGAAGTGTAACTGTATAGTTTCCATTTACTAAGCAACGCAAATAATAAGCGAGAGAAAGAGGAGAGAGTTGTGCTCGTGTATAAATCGGAGTTGCTTGTTCTCAGAATGGAAACATTTTGTGCTATAAAGTCCTTTGAAGTAACAGAGGTATCCCAGAAAAGCCCAGTGCTACTAGTTTCCCAAGTCTCTTTGAGTGGAAAATATTTTGCTGGCCCTCCTAAGTCTTCATCTGCCTCATAGTCGATGCCATTAATAGTCGTTGCTCCTCCACCACAATTTATATTTACCGAATACCAATCTATTAAGAATGAAAATAAAAACGTTTCAAGTTGATTAGGTTAAAACCTTACCGTAAAACATGTTTTTAGAGTCTACATATTTGCATTTTAATGCAGAGGAATTACCTTTCGAACAAGGAAAGTTCTTCAGGCAGTTATCTAGTCCTCTACAGCAGAGTAGTACAACAAAGAAGCATCAGTCCTTTCAAAGAATTATTAAAAGGGGAAGAATAGAAATATAAAAAAACGTGATAACTTTTTTGCTCAATAAGTTGCAAACTTACAAGTTTTTGCCTCCTGAGAAGCTTACGAACAAATTTCTAATGAAGCGCAATAGATGAATCAGTTTAATATTTCAAAACATCTTACAGAAAGTTGAAAAAGTAATACGTACACAGCATAAGGAGACAAGTTAAGAGGAACTTTTTCTTACAGATTTTCACGACAAGAAGGCAACCCTGGGGCTTCAGAAAAATTATTATAAGAAAGATCTATTTGGCTGCATAAAAACATAATAGATTTTAATAACTAGACTTGAAACATTAAAGCAAATTAATTTTAATTAAAACAAACAATATTATAGCTGGTACAAGTTAGATGGGACACGTTTCTAGGAATGGTACTCTTGAGCAACTACAAAATGGATAAATTGGGTTAATTTTGCATTGTTTGAAGATAAAACCCAGAAAATCCTCAAGTATATTAGATTATAAATCCATAAGTTACTGTAAATAGCTTAGGATCAAATCCAGAAAAAAAATCATACAATGAATACTCTTTGAAGAGTCGGTTAACAAAATACAGAAAATAAACAGATAATCATGTGTCAAATTGTTAGGTAAACAAAAAGGATAGTAGACCTACTAGCGGCTATCTCTAATACTCATCCAATCTGGAATGATCCCAGTAAGTGAGTTGTCTGTCAGGTACCTAATCAGTAAGCAAAACAATCCACAGTTAAGCTCTTCTATTGGAACTATATTGAAAGGTTATAACTGAAGCTTAAACTGAAATAAGTTCAACCAAATGTAGAACTTATGTAAGGATATTAATGCATGCAGATTCCTGGTTCTGAAGTTGCGGAAGCATCAACTAAATTAGTTTTGTTTGATTTTCCAAGATGCAGTATTCAGATAAAATAAACAAATGAAGATGTTCCCTTACCATAAGAACCAAAAAATCTAACCTTAAAACTTTTGATAAACTACTTTGATAGAGTATTATTCCAAGAGCATATTGTGCTTAGTGTTTTTCATATTGGTTAATCAGGGTTTGGATGAATACACCTCAAGAATTCACACTACTTACATGTATTGCGTTTTGGTAAGGCTTTCAGAGTCTGAAATATTACCTTCCAATTTATTGAAGCTGAGATCTCTGGAAGAAAAAGCAAATCAGCTATTCCATAGCTAAACAAACATATGAAGAGTGCATTTATGAAGAATGAATTCATGAAAAGCAAGCAAGCATATAAGATGTTGACGTTCACGAGATGCTGATTATAGTATATTGTTTTAAATATTCATTTTTATAAAATGAATAATCTAAATAATCCATTAAACTGGTCAAGATGTTGTTACAAATATGACAAAATCAGTCAATATTGTCAATGCTTTACATAGTGTGATATGGTAATTGATACAATGAGTACAAAATTATGAAACCCCTCTCAATACATTGCTGCTCTAGTATCTACATGGATTTGTACAAAAGCTTATAAATAGGGAACATTAACAGATATTTGTGTCTCAACAGAAGAACCGAGCTCATACACAAAACATAAGCATTATATTCTTCAGCAAATCTACAAAATTTTAGAAGCAAGTCCTTTTTCTTTCTTTTTTCAATATCTAGATCATATGCTTGTTACTAGTCCAATTAGATAAAAACAAACCTATTGCACCATCTCAAGTTCAAGTTTAGCTTAAATGAGTGCAGCAAGCAAAATGAGAGTATTTTTAGTAAACTATATGATCATTTTCGAGATTAAACAAGTCTAGTAAAATACTGTGTAAAGTTTCAAAAGTAACGAGACTATGATAGCTTATTGAAAAGCATACATGATAACTAACAAAACTGAAAGGAAAATAACAATCCAAAAACATTTCCAGACAATATTTTTATAATCTAAAATCAGGTTTAGCCCAGAAACACTCATAAACGGTCATGCAAAACTTATTTTACAAAGCTTGCATCTATCAATTGCTTCTAAACAAAATAATGCAAAGTGTACTTAACTTCAAGCATTGAAAATTGAAGTATCAAACATGTATTAAAACCCACAAGCAAAAAATGAAAATGGTATGCCCAGTACTAATATAAAAACTGAAAATTAAGATGAGACAAGAACAGTAGGATTACAAAATCTGCAGATGTGAATATTCCCATATGTAATCTGGGATTGGTCCAGTTATATTGCAGCTACGTAACATCCTGCAATTTGAACCAGCATCATTTGAAGAGAATTATGCTAAATGGGAATTAATACGAGCTTGAATAATTTTGCATGCCTGGGAATGACTTACAATCTGTACATGTTTTTCATATTTTTTAAGTTCGGAAACTTTGAACCCTCTCCCGGTAAGTCACTGATCCTTCTGAATTATATTGCACCATAAAGAATTGGTAAAGGAGACAAGGCACCCGGTGCAGTAATTAAGCATCTAAAGGGATTAAGACAAGCTCACAGTTCCACTAAGTTCTGCAAGAGTGTTAAGTTCGGAGGAATTGGCCCTTCAAAACCACTAGCTTGAATCTCTCTGTCAATAAAGAAATAAGTATGATCATCACCAGAAATTTCAACGAGGGGCTCTAGAGAAGTAGTGGAGACAGGAAGTTGCTTACAACTTCTCAAGCTGCTTCCAACTTTGAAAAATGTTGGGTATCTTTCCAACGAAACTGTTACTGCTAATCCTACTGCATAAATCTCACATATAAGCAGGGGTACTACCTATAGCTTGCCTAATTAACAGTATAACTCTAAATAGTGCAGAAAACACTTACAGTTCTTTTAGATTGGACAGATTAGCAAGGGACGAGGGAAATTTTCCGGCGAGATAGTTAGCATTAAGAGTACTATATTCAAGAAAGAGGCAAAGTTAGGCCAATCATACCATACTAAATACTCAAGAGAGAAGTAGACTGATAAATCATAAATGGATATCTGATAGGGAAGAGAAATCCTAACAGGTTTTCCAGGTTAACCAATTTCCCAAACTCAGGAGGAATAGTTCCAGAAAACATGTTGTTCTCGAGGCTCCTGAAAATATAGTACTAATAAGAAACATTATAATCCTTTTAAATTTAAGGAAAAAAAGAGATAATACTAAAGAAAACATAGGCAACCGAGGCCTACAGATGCTTTAGAGTTGTTATGTTTCCCAAAGAGCCTGGAATCGACCCCGATAAGCGATTCATAGCGACTGACCTGAAACATGCTCATCTCTATCAGTTGAATGAAAGTAAATTTCTGCTAAATAGGAAGATAAACATGAAATGTGCTTGTAGCTTACATTGTCTCCAACTTCAGAGCAGCCCATTCATGTGGGATTGCACCATGAAGATAGTTGTAATGGAGTATTCTAAAAGCAACAGAAAAGAGCTTTAAAATGAATAGAAGCTTATTTGCTAGTTAAAGAGTAAAATCATCAATTGTAAACTTTTCCCTTACAAAGTTCTAATATATGGTAGCTTGACAAGTGAGCGTGGAAGAGCACCATCAAGATCCTGCCCTGTAAGATAGCTGTTCAAATGAATACAAAGCTTTTAGAAGCATGTCCAATTCAAAATTTCCAGATATACGTGTTCTCCGAAAATAGTTAGGAGAGACATTTTAGTAGCAGAAAAAATGTTCACAGAACCCTTTTTCAGTGATAAGAAACGACAGAATTCATATAATATAGTGACCGAGATGATTAGTTGGAATAAATTTGTATTAGAAGATGAAGCTATAGCCATGCAGCATTTCATCTTGAATGAGGCGCACCCTTTATTCGCCTATGGTAAATATTTCATATTGCTAAAATAAAAGTGGGGAATCCAGGCAAATCACTGATATAGAAATTAATTGGAAAAAAAGGATAAGACGATTATGTCTATGGTTAAGAAATCAGAATAAGCAGCAAATTTCTTATGACCAATAAGGACTTACATGCCATCAATATGACATTCATCATTGGGAAAGGAACAATTGCAGGTGACAGTACTGTTGTTAATGGCCTGAGGCACATTTGGCGGCCGCGGTGGAGTAAACCAGCTTGACTTATTGTTGCAAGGGTTCTCACTGAAATTCCAATCCTTCTTTCCAAGTTCTTCCGCTATCTCACGAAGAGCTTTTACTGCAAAGCCAGAAAGAAAAAAAGAAACAACAAATTGAGAAGCCATTGGAGTAAGCTGAGTAGGCGTCTTGAAGCACATTTACAAGAAAATCAGTGGAATAATCTCTTGGGTGAGTTCTTAAGACATATAAACACTCAAGTATCATTAACCCAAATGAACCGAATCTGCAGTGTACTGTTCAATAGTGCTAATCTTTAACACGAACTGAAGCAATAAAGGAATTGGAAAGCTGTACTAACATACCTTCATAATGTGGAGGATAAGGTGATTCTACTCGAGCTTGGACTTGGTTTGGTTCCATGTAAATGAGCACCAAGACTGTAAGAATGATGTACCCAAAGATAACTTTCATGGTTGATTGAAGGACAATTAACAACTCTTCCCGTGCTTTTCTTCTTGAAATGAAGCAATCTTCTTGCACCTAAACTTTTTTTCTCATCAAAAGTTGGCTTTTAGATGCAGCTATCTCTAGATCTTTAACTTGCCAGCTTTTGAAGCGGGGGAAGTGGTACGAAAATCAATACAGAATATGAGAAAATGACTGGTTCCGTCATTTTCAAAGGCGCGTTTGAACCGAAGACTTACCTATTATATATTTTTAATTGTGTCGGTGTTATTAATGAATCAATTCAGTCAGTAATATTCTACATTTGACTGTATATAAATACTAATAAGATAAAAGGTTTAAAATATATTTTTCTTAATAATGGAATCTATATTTATAATTAGTTTTCTAAGATTTATAATTAGTTTAAAATTCATTCAGTAATGAATTCTATATTTATAATTAGTTTTCTAAGATTTATAATTATAATATCTATTTTAATATTGTTATTTGTAAATTTTAAATTATTTCTTAAAGTCATTCTTTATTGTTTATGTGGAGTGAGAAATTTGTGGTAGCACTCAACCAACCAGTCAATTCAAACGAAAATAAAAAGCAAATGTTTCACTTAAAATATTTTTCGAGAAATGTTTTCTGTAAAATAAATTATATTTTTTGAAAAATATTTTTTGAATAACGTTTTATGCTGTTTGAGAGATATTGTTTAAATCCTTTTTCTACTAGTTGATAAATTTAAAAAAAAATATTTATTATAAATATTAAGTACAATAAATTATATTATTTATCATAAAATTTAATATTATTATTTTTAAAATATTAAAATAATTTATTTATTATTAAAATATTATTTTTATAATTTTATTAATAAAAATATTAATATTGGTATATTTTATTGAAATAAAAATATTATAAATTATATTAATTATTTATTAAAGTAATAGTGTTATATTATATTTTAAAAATATTAATTAGTATATTTTAAATATCTTTATTAAAATATTATTAGATTAATATTAAATATATAAATAATATTATTTATTATTAATAATTTAATAATATTATTTCTATGAAATTAATAAACAATATAAATTTTATTAATAATTTATTATATATTATTAAAATAAAAATATAATATCTTATATTATTATAATATAATTGATTATTTTATTATAATATTAAAAATATAATATTATATTATTAGAAATATTAATAAATATATTTTAAATATTTAAATAATTAGTATTTTGATTAAAATGATATTAAAATATTTATTAATATTAAATTCATAAAATAAAATTATTTTGAGTATTTATTTTTGAAGTGAAAAGTTCAGTATAATATTAAAAATATAATATTATATTATTAAAAATATTAATAAATATATTTTAAATATTTAAATAATTAGTATTTTGATTAAAATGATATTAAAATATTTATTAATATTAAATTCATAAAATAAAATTATTTTGAGTATTTATTATTGAAGTGAAAAGTTCAGAAAATGACTTACGGAAAATCATAAAACAAGTCATTTTCCAAAAAACACAAAAGAAATTCTGTTGACCAACCAATTTTACTCCAATCAAACACTGAAAAATAAATAAAACATTTTCCAAAAAATATTTTACGTGAAACAAACGAACCATAAATTACAAATACGATCCAAAATTCAAAAAGACTATTTCAAATCAGGGAGTGTCTGATAAGACATGTTCTAAAATTAGCGAATACATTATTTATACTAATAATGGTACAAAAGAGAAGGAGCTTAATTTTAGGTATGACGTATCTTTTTGTTCTCTATTTTCCTTTAAGAATTGTTCTAATTTTTTATTTTTTATACTTAATTTTTATTAAATTATATTAACTAATAAAAATAGTAAGTTTACTAAATTTTTTGGAAAACTAAAAGAAAACAAACTAATTAACTATATCTACACTATTACCCCTCTCATCGTCGTAGTTGATTTAGTACTTTTGGTGGTTCCTCAATGATAATTATAATTTCATCTCAAGTTTGTCATATTGGCGAATTTATCTGCACCTATTTCCTTCGTGAAAGATGTCTTGTTTTTTTAACCCAGCCTTCTTTCATATTTTCACAATCTTGAACAAGTATTTGTGCTGGATGTTCTTCTACTAATTTTCTATTTAACGTATGATCACTCATTTCGCGTCTAATTTCACTATTAGATTTGTCATGTTCATGTTCTGAAACCAATCTTTACATTGAAACCCAGTTCTACCCGGTCTTTACATTACAATAAGATCGATCAAGTTTGCTTTGAATTTGCTGGATGTTAAACAAGCGTTGAGGAAGAGCCATACCATGCTGTTGAACTTGAATCTGATGGCGCAGTAACCATCGTGGTTTCGCTACTCTTCTGAGGTAGCATTTTGTTGAATTGGTCTTTCAGTGCTCCGAATCTCGACTCATCGGCAAAGATACTCGGGTCCATGATTAATTCAGGAACAAGGGTTCGACCTTCAAGCATGTTTACGACTTCAGACATGGTTGGTCTAAGTGCTGGGGATGAATTCGTGCACAATAAAGCTACTTTTGTCATCCTAATTGCCTCTTCTTCATTGAACTCTGTCCCCAACCTTGGATCCACCAACTCCATTAAGTTTCCCTTTTGTTGTAAAACAAGAGCCTGGAATAGATAAAGGAAATAAAGGTATCAATTTAAGTTCAATGCACCTGTGAATTATAACACAGATATTTCTATGATGACATTATAAAATTATAACTTAAATTGTATCTTACCCGATCTTGAAGGCATACATAATCTTCTTCGGGTCGATATTTTGCATTGTTCTTTCCAGCAACAATTTCTAATGCAACAATCCCAAAACTATAAACATCTGCCTTGTTGGTGAGATAGCCCCATAATGCATATTCTGGGGCCATGTATCCTCTGCGAAAATAGGAGCATTAAGCACAATATACTCATGCATATCAACTTTGTTCATGTTTACATAAGCAAGGTTGGAGGCTTTGGACTCATATTTACTGCTTTATAGTTTAAACATTGATGCTTCATGCAATACGCAGAAACTTCGGTTTCAAGAATCTATGTTTCTTTTTCTATTATGGTAGCAAGTTGAGAAATCATGTGTTTCTTAAACTAGTATTGAAACAAAAAAACAAACAAGCAGTATAGTTTCATTCAATTCGAACTAAATATGCTGAACTGAAAGAAATGCAGTGATGCGCCTCGCATGAAAAACATAGGGAGAGAGGTAGCTTACATAGTACCAGCAACTCTGGTGCTAATGTGGGTGTTTTCCTCCTCATCAAACTTGGCCAAACCAAAGTCAGAGATTTTCGCATTGAGATCGCTATCTAGTAACACGTTCGTAGTTTTGATGTCTCTATGTACAATTTTTATACTTGATTCCTCGTGCAGGAAAGCAAGACCTTTTGCAATGCCAAGACAGATTTTCTGCCGAGTAGACCAGTCCAATAACCAGCTTTCGTTGGGACCTATTTGTTGACATAGGCAAAATCCATTGAAATTCATCATATAGTTGTCCATACATGGAGCTGAGATGGAACGATCAGAGAAGAGGAATACTTGCTTTCTATGGCTCCAATCACAAAAACATTGAAGGAAGAATGAAAGAGGTTTAGGACATTAAGCTTACCGAATAAAGCACGTGCAAGGCTATTATTTTCCATGTATTCATATACCAACAACAGCTGAGTTCCCTCAACACAACATCCATACAACCTAACAACATTAGGGTGTTGCAATCCTGAAATCATGGCTAGTTCATTTAGAAATTCCCGATCCCCTTGTCTTGATTTCGAAGAAAGTTTTTTAATTGCAATTAGGGTACCATCAAGCAGTACACCCTACAGAAGAAGTATAACATAAAATTTTGTTATATATTCCATCAAATAATATTGTACACCTAAACATTTCAGAAAGGAAATAAATTAAATGTAAAGAGAAAGCATGTACTAAAGGTACCTTGTAGACAACTCCAAAACCACCTTCGCCAATTTTATATGCAGAGTCAAAATTGTTTGTAGCTGCTTTCATTTGTCCGAAGGTAAAAAAGCCAGTGTGCAGATCTAACCCCCTCAAGACTTGGAAATGAAGGGGGGACCAATTGAATTACACATTAAATACACTTGAAAAAGATGCATTTGTTCAAATAGATCATCCTAGATAAATTATTTTAAAGTAGAAATTTGCATATTGAAGTTTATTAGAATACCTTGTTCCCTTGATGGCTTGTGTCGAAAATAGCCTTTCCACCATATAATGCCTAAGATTATGAAAATCAGGCACAGAACACAAACAACAGCTCCCACTATGAACTTCATATTCTTATTCCAGCCACTGTGAACTGGAGGCTTGGAATCTACCAACAAAAGGGATAAAAAGGTACAAACGGTTATTCTAAAACTTCCATCTCCTTTAGTAACACTGCATGTGCATATGCTAGTAAAAAAATATTAGACTTATCCACCAACTGAGGTACTTAAGATGGTATCGGATGCTTAAAGTTCCCTGTTCCCCGTTCCCCGTTCCCCGTTCAGAAATTTTAAGCACATACAGTGAGTCTTGTGTTGCTGTGTTAGTTCATAGTAAAGTTATACTAGTCAGATTCCAAGAATATATTTCATGCAAACAATAGTTTAAGGTCAACTCCATTATTGCTTCATATCAAGAATCATGTCAATCCACTTCAAGAATTAAAAAAATCTGACAATTGAGAGTAGAAGTTCCCAAATTTATCCAGGAGGTTGAACAAAGTACATAAGAAGAGTGAATGGCTCTTTAACTACAGATCTTACCAGAGTCTACTGAGATAGCTGATATCAAAGGACCATATGTTCCTCTTCTTGGTGTTGCAGCTGTCCCCTTCCCAGCCCAGTGAAAGCGTATTGTCAAACTTTTGTTCCTGACGACCGTTTTAAATTTCCTGACAACAGCTTTATCGGCACCCTGTGCCTCATTTTTAACATTGAAATCCTTCAATCCCAGCTTCTCCTGCAATGAACTTATTCAATCAAACCAGTTTCAGTATCATGCAAATTACACTTCATATAAAAACATGATCGAATACCTGGATATAAACATCAAATATCCTCCTCCCAAGACTTTGATAGGATCTATTGTCTCTGACAACTATCTCTGCAAAGTGAAGTGTAACAGTATAACTTCCATTTGCTAAGCAACGGAAGTAATATGTGAGAGAAAGAGGAGAGAGGCGTGCTCTTGTGTATAAATCTGAGTTGTTAGTTTGGAGAATAGAAACGTTTATTGCTATAAAGTCCCTTGAAGTAACAGTGGTATCCCAGAAACGGCCAGTGCTACTTGTTTCCCAAGTCTCTTTGAGTGGAAAAAATTTGGCTGCACCTCCTGAGTCTTCATCCGCCTCATAGTTGACCCCATTAACAGTTGTTGCTCCTCCACCACAATTTATATTTACTGAATCCCAATCTAGAAAGAATGAGAAAATACATGCCAGTTGATTAGGATCAAACCTTACCGTAAAACATGTTTTCAGAGCCTAGAAGTTTGCACTTTAATGCAAAGGAATTACCTTTCGAACAAGGAAAGTTCTTCAGGCATATATCTAGTCCTCTATATTAGATTAATACGACAAATAAGCATCAGACTTATTAAAGAGTGATTAAAAGGGAAAGAAAAGGGACAACAAAAAACGTGGTAAATTTTTTGCTAAATAAGATAGAAACTTACAAGTTTTTGCCTCCCGAGAAGCTTTCGAACAGATTTCTGATGAAGAAATAGACCAATCAGTTAAATATTTCAAAAAATCTTACAAAGATTTGGAAAAGTAATACTACACGATATCGGAAGCCAAGTTAAGAGGAAGTTTTTCCTACAGATTTTCCCGACAAGAAGGCGACTCAGGGCTTTCAGAAAAATTATTATAGGAAAGGTCCATCTGACTGCAAAAAACATATAATAGATTATAAATGACTAGACTTAAAAAATTAAGGTACTTTAATTTTTATTACAACTAACAATACTATTACTGGTATAACGTAGGACATGTTTCCAGGAATGGTACTGTGAGCAACTACAAAATGGATAACTGGGTTATATTTTGCATTGTTTGAGGAGAAATAGGTAGTTTATATCCTTCAGACTGTCAAAGAAGAAAAACCCCTAAGTGGCTGTAAATTAGGATCAAATCCAGAAAAATCATACAATTAATATTATTTGAAGTTTCAGTTACAAAATGCAGAAGATAAACAGATAATCACGTGTCAGGAGAAAAAAAGAATGATAGTAGACATACTAGCGGTTATCTCTAGAATTTATCCAATCTGGAATACTCCCAGTAAGCGAGTTGTGTGTCAGGTACCTAATCAGTAAGCAATACTCCACAATTAGGCATTTCTATTAGAACCATACTGACAGGTTAAAACTGGAACGCAAAGTAAAATTTCATCAGATTTAGAACTTATTTAAGGATATTAATGCATGCAGATTCCTGGTTCAGAAGTTGTAAAAATATCAGCAAGCTAATTTTATTTTGATGTCATCCATGAGTTTCCAAAATGTGCACTGTTGAGAATCAAATAAACAAATGAAAATGCTCTATATTACCGCAAGGATAAAAAAGTCCAATAAACTTAGAACTTTTGATTAACTACTTATTTCCCCCCAATAAATATACCTATGATTAAAGGACCAGAAAAACTACTTAGATTGAGTATTATTTCAAGAACATACTATGCATAGTGTTCTGCATATTGGTTAGTCTAGGTTTGGATGAATACACCTCAAGAATTTACAGCACTTACATGTATTGCAATTTTGTAAGGCTTTCAGAATCTGAAATGTTACCTTCCAATTTGTTGAAGCTGAGATCTCTGAGAAAAATAGACAAAAGTTCTATCATAGATATACAAATATGAATGTTGAAATGATAGGTTAATAGAAATATGAAATCCATAAAATATAGATAAGTACATATATGGAAGATTGAAGTATGTTGCTTTCTAAGAAGAAGAAGATTGAAGTATGACAGTTTTGTTAATCCCACAAGAAAAGAACTAAAACAGTATGCCGAGTACTGACATAAATACTGAAAATTAAGGTGAGTCAAGAACAGCAGAATTACAAAATTTGCAGTTGTGAAAATTCCCATATGTAATCTGGTATTGGTCCAGATACGTTGCAGCTACGTAACATCCTGCAATATGATCCCCCATCATCTGAGAACAATTATAACAAAAGGCAATTAATATGACCTTGAAGAACTTTTCAAGCATGGGAATGACTTACAATCTGTGCATGTTTTTCATGTTTTTTAAATTCGGAAACTTTGAACCCTCTCCAGGTAAGTCGCTGATCCTTCTGAATTATATTTCATCATAAAGAATTGTTAAAAGAGGAAAGGCCCCCAAGCAATAAGTTTAGTTGGAATGTACGGAGGTTAAGTTAAATCATTAATATAAATGAAGGGCTACAAAATCTAAAGGGATTAAGACAAACTCACAGTTCCGTTAAGTTATTCAAAAGAGCTAAGCTTGAAGGAATTGGCCCTTCGAAACCACTAGCTTGAATCTCTCTGTCGGCAAAAGAATTCAAATTTATGAATTAACAATCATCAAAACTTTCAATGAAGCACTATAGAGAAGTAGTGGAGACAGAAACATGCTTACAACTTCTCAAGTAGCTTCCAACTTTGAAAAATGTTGGGTATCCTTCCAATGAAATTGTTACTGCTAATCCTACTGCATAAACCTCACATAAAAGCAGGGGTACTAAATAAATCTAGCCTAACTAACAGTATAATTCTGTATAGTGCAGAAAACACTTACAGTTCTTTTAGATTGGACAGATTAGCAAGGGACGAGGGAAACGTTCCGGTGAGGTAGTTAGCATTAAGAGTACTATATTCAAGAAAGAGGCAAAGTCAGGCCAATTATACTATACTAATAAATATTCAAGAGATATCCAATAGGGAAAAGAAAGCCTAACAGGTTTTCCAGGTTAGCCAATTTCCCTAACTCGGGAGGAATAGTTCCAGAAAATATGTTGTTCTCGAGGCTCCTGAAAATATAATACTAATAAGAAACATTATCTAGCCTTTAAGGAAAAGGAAAGAGATAATACTAAAGAAAACATAAGCTACCGCCGCATACAGATATTTTAGAGTTGTTATGTTTCCCAAAGAGCCTGGAATTGACCCTGATAAGCGGTTCATAGAAACTGTCCTGAAATGTAGTCGTTCCTATCAGTTGAATAAAAGTAGGCTTCTTCTAAACAGGATAAACATGAAATGCACTTGTAGCTTACATAATCTCCAAGTTCAGAGCACCCCATTCATGTGGGATTGCACCATGAAGATAGTTGTAATGGAGTAGTCTAAAAGCAACAGAAAATTGTTTAAAATAAATAGAAGCTTATATGTTAGTTAAAGAGTAAAATCATCAATTCCAGCCTTCTTCTTACAGTGTTTTCATATATGATAGATTGGCAAGTGAGCGTGGAAGAACACCATCGAGATCTTGCCCTGTAAGATAGCTGTTCAAGTGAATACAAATCTTTTAGAAGCATGTCCGAATTCAAAATTTCCAAATAGTTATGTGAGAGATTTTAGTAGCATATGGTTAAGAAATTAGAATAAGAATAATTTTCTTATGACCAGTAAGGACTTACATGCCATCAATATGACATTCACCATTGGGGAAGGAGCAATTGCAGGTGACGGTACTGTTTTTAACGGCCTCAGGCTCATTTGGCGGTGGCGGTGGAGTAAACCAGCTTGACTTATTGTTGCAAGGGTTCTCACTAAAATTCCAATCCTTCTTTGCTAGTTCTGCCGCTATCTCACGAAGAGCTTTTACTGCAAATCCAAGAAGAAGAAAAAAACACCAATTTGAGAAGCCAATGGAGGAAGCTGAGTTGGCGTTGAAACACATTTAAAAGAAAATCAGTGGAATTATCTCTTGGGTGAGTTCTTAAGGCATATAAAAACTCAAGCACCGTTAACCCAAATGAACTGAACCTGCAGTGTACTGTTTAATGCAGATCAGTTAACACGAACAGAAGCAATAAAGGAATTGCAAAGTTGTACTAACTTACCTTCATAACGTGGAGGATAAGGTGGCTCTACTTGGGCTTCAACTTGGTATGGTTCCATACAAAATAGCACCAAGACTGTAATAATTATGTACCCAAAGAGAATTTTCATGCTTGAAGGACAGTTAACAACTCTTCCCATGTTTTTCTTAGTGAAATGAAGCAATCTTCTTTCACCTATACTTGTTTTCTCACCAAAAGCTAGCTATGGATGCAGCTATCCATGGATCTTTACTCTTTAGCTTACAACTTTTGAATTGTATGAGAAAAATATTGCTGTATACTTAAACAAGTGATTTTAATGATGGAAAATAGGGAAAGATGACTTGATTGTCATTTTCACGCAAATAGAGTAAATGGGTTGAGCATTTATATTTGTACGACGGAAAATGGGAAGCACTGAATTGTCGGCAGAATAAGGGAAATAATAATGGACGGCCGATTATTTAGCTTAATAGGATAATTTAGTTTTTAATTTGGGATTTACGGTAAAAATTATAGTGAATCTAAAATTTATTATATTAACGTGATGAGTTTAGTGTAATATTATTTTTATAATAGACCTTGAGATGTGGTCTCACGAGTCAAATATATTTAATATATTTTTTTGGTCCTAATTAAAAATTATTTTTTGTATTTAAAAAAGATTGTAATATATATATATATTAATGGTCAAAAACTCGTCACATCAACGTGACGAGTTTCAATAACTAAAAGTTTGAAATTTTTTACCGTTAGGTAGACCGTTGGCCAATGGTCATTTTTTTTAAATTCAAGGGAATTTTTTGTATTTTCAATTCAAAAAAAATAACCGTTTATAACCTTTGGATAGAGTAGTATAAATAGATGTTTGAGTTTGATTAATTTTTCACTTGAAATCAAATATTATATTGAGATTAAAAACTTTTTTGTTGAATATTTTGTGTTGAAATGGTTTCAAGAGAAGAAATTGAACGTCTTGATTATGTTCATATTTCATCGACGGAGTTGACTACAATAAATTTAATTTGTTTTAATTTATTTTACTTTTGAAGAAATTATATTATTAATAATAATTATTTATATACTTTTATTAATTAATTTAATTTCAAATTATAGTAAGAAGAACAAGGCATTCGTCATCGAAGAATAGCGAATGAAGAGCCACATCAGCGGATTGTGATATATCTTCAACAATTTGGATTATATCCAATGATGTTTGTTCGTGGTTTTAAGGTTTGTAACATCCCAAACATCGGGTTAGTGACCAAATTGTGAGATTTTAGAATTCAGTGATTTAATTAGATAAATTAAAAAGTTAAGTGACTAAATTAAAATATTTTATTTAGGATGGTTTAATAAAGAATGAGGAATAAAAGGAGCAAATTGGTTATTTGAGCATGGAAATAAAAAAAAATGGTTGTGGTTATTTTATAACCACGTGGAGCTCATATTTGGAAAGAAAATATTCCAGATATCTCATCTTTCTTCTTCTCCAGCCGTGAAGTTTCATAAGCTAAGGTGAGTTGATTTTTATCTGGTGAATTCTTGAAAGTTAGGTGTGGTTTTGATTGATGAAGTCTTAGGAAAGAGTATGAAAACAAAAAGAGGTATATAAACTTAAAGGATGGTGAGTTATGGATGATTGAAGGTATGAAGTTTTTAAGTGAAAATTTGAATAAGAAGACTTAAATAAACTTAGAAGCTGTATTTGACTTGTCATAGGTGTGAATAAGAAGTAATAGGTGTTAGAATTAAGTTTGAATTATATGAAAAACTTAGTAAAATTTTTAGTTTCAAGAATTGGAATAAGATGTTAAAGTTTATAAGGTGTTAAGATGATAAAATATAGTTAAAGTGATTGTAGTTGAGGTTGGTGGTATGAAATGAATTTTAAAGGTGAAAATTAAGTAAATAGTTGATGATTTTCGGGTTAAAGAAGTCTGTTCTGGGTAAGTGGAATCGGTACATGATTAAAACATGATTGAAACAAAGGAAAAACATTCAATCTTCTCATCAACCAGTCTTGGTCTCTCTGTCTTATCCCTTTACTTGTTCAGTTTTCAGACGAAAGCACAAACAGAACAAGAAACTTGTTTTAGGATTAATGAATCAAGTAGAAATCGGGGGAGTACGTATTCAAATACTTTGAACGCTAGAAAGCGAAAACCGCTAACGCAAAGCAGGCTGCTTTTAAAACTGACATTTCAAAAGAGCTTCAGGTTGAAATCAGCACCACGTTAGTGTAGAGTTTTTTTTTTTTTTGAAGTGACGTTAGTGTAGAGTTAGCAATATGATAACGGGATAATTTCCCTTTGAGGACGTGTCGCAATTTGCATGCTTTTGAATTTGTTAAATTTCGTTTTTGTCCCTTCCAAATTTTCAACACGCTCGCTGTTATGGATAACTCCGGAAGTACACATGTTTCTACAATTATATAAATATCAACTGCTGCAACTAGTATTAAAATGGGAAAGACACGAAGCAAAATGGAAATTTCAAAGAGTGATTAATCAATTAATCAGGAAAACCGGGCACATTACTTTCGAGATTTGACAGTTTTACATGCTTTTAGAGTCGGGTAGATACCTAAATTGACGTGACAGTGCTTATTTTAAATTAATCATATCATGCTTTACGTGGCTAACTTCCCACGAAACATTTTCCTACAGGGAGTTTGCACATGTGCATGTATGTAACCATACAAAAAGGGAACGCAAATGGGACGGCAGCTAGCATCAGTCAAAGAAAATTTCAACAGGTTTAAGGTTAATAACACGTGTTCAAATGAAAGCTTAGAGCCATCATTAAACCAGAAATCTAAATAAATTATATACCGTTTCCATCTAGGTGAAGGTATTTGATAAATACACAAATATGAAACAAAGAGTGAAGGTGGTTATCGGCAAGGGAAAAAGACAATAATAATATATAAATAAATGGCACGTATGAGCATCCCTACGATCCAACAAGGAAGGGGCGGAGGTAGGCCTGGGCCTACCTAGGCCATGCCCCCTACTAACATAATTATATATATATATATATATATAATTTTATTAAATTTATATTTAATTATAATTCTATTTAATCAAAATTAGATTAATTAGAGTACTATTTAATTTTAAATTTAACTACAATTTTCTCTCTTCAAAATCTTATATTAAGAGAAAAAATATAATTGTATTAAATTTAAATTTAAATTTAATTATAATTCTATTTAATCAAAATTAAATTAATTAGAGTCCTATTTAATTTTAAATTTAAATACAATTTTATCTCTTCAAAATCTTGTAATATATATAATGTGATGCTCTCTTTTTCTTGTTTATTTATATTTATTCTGTACTTTTCAAATTCAAATAATTTTTTAAAAACATAAAGGTAATTGAGTATATTAACTAAAAATTTAAATTTTTTTATGTTCTCCTGCAGGTTATTTATTACTTTTTCCCTGAATTTTCATACTTTATTTTTATTTTGTTATTTAATTACTTAGAAATTTGTGGTGTTATTAGCTTTTGTTTAGTGATTATTCAACATCACCTACAAGATTGTAATAAAAATTTAAAAGATACTCCTCATATCTTATTTTATTCAATCAAAATTATTTATTATTTTTTTTGCCTCGATCATAGCTGATTTTGGTTCTATGAAAAAGAGAGTTCATCTTTATCAATGAAAATATTATATTTAGAACTATGTATTTTGTTAACATAAATTTTAAAGTTCTTTTAGAACGTGTAATTATATTAGTTTTCGTTATTAAATTTTAAAATTGAAATATTATATATATGATAAATATTAGACAAACTTTTTATTATGCTTAGATTGACTCATACAATAATATTTTTCTTGATTCACCTTGTGAACAAGGCATTCTTTTTTTTATGCTATGAACTGGTTGGAATCGGATATCGTTAAGATAATGGACATGCGGTCTTAAGTTTAAACATTAAACAGATTCTTGAGCTATCCAGAATAAACATTTGAATCATGTAACACAAGTGAGGAAGACAATTTCATTCAAGGTTCATTGAAGAAAGATGACCCTAAAGATCAGAAAAATAATTCATAACAATTAAATTGCATTCAGGCTCCCAACTTCTCTAGACTGCCTATTTCAAAGAGGGTCAAGGCCTCATCCCATGAAAGCAACCCATGAATATAACAACGTTAAGATCACGTCATTCTGTATTTGAGTTTAACAAAAGTGGATCAACATGCTAACGCCTTTGTTGCGCAAAAAGATCAGAATTACGGTCTTAACCATCCATTTCACCTCAAAATTACTTCAGCCAACATTCAACAAGATCTTTCTCTCTTTGAAGTTTAGCACGTTAACAAAACGGTGTCGTCTTGCGTTAAATTTCAGGGTTTATATTGAATTGATACTATGTCGTTTTGGATTGTTTGTAATTGAGGCTAAACCCCACACGTTGAAAGTCAATGTAGAATGTGAATGAGAATGTTATTTTCTCCTCGAAGGCGGATCTACCTTTAGTTTACGAGGGGTATATGTATATTTTGAAATTTATTTTTTTTTCAGTTAATCATTTATTTTATTGATTGTGTCCCTTATAAAAATTTATTTAAGTTCATTTTGTACAATTTTTTTATCTTTTATATTGTTCTTCACTTATTTTTTTTAGATATTTTTTTCATTCTATAGGCTTCTTCTTAATTTTCTTTTACGTTTTTTATATAGATAGTATCACATATATGATTGTTATGCATGGTATGCATCAATCGATCTAACCATATCAAGTGATATGTATCCTATAGAACTTTTCTCTAAAAAAGGTTTAAGTTACATTGCTAGTGCCTTAGGAATACCATTGACTATGGACTCTTTTACTGCTAATAAAGCTAGACTGAATTTTGCTAGAGTCTGTATAGAGGTTGGTGCAACGGAAGAAATTCCAGAAACAATAGAAGTTTTGCTTGCTAATGGTCTTTCCACTACTGTTTACGTTGAAGTCCCTTGATACCCTCCTAGATGTGCTAAATGTAAATCCTTTGGACATACAAAAAAAGGTTGTAAAGCCAATAATTCACTTGTTCCTCAAACCTCGAAAATATAGAGAAAAAAATTATCTCAAATGATTTAAACCCAATCCCTCCTTCCAACTTGAATCTACTAAATACGAGTGAGTCTGCTGAGTTTCAATCATTTGCAGAAAATTCCAATGATCAAAATTCACCTCACCGTGATGTTCCTGCTGAAGGTGAAAAACCAGCCCTATCTCACATAGCA